AGTCAAAATTAGTTGAAGCAATTGTAGAAGATGTTTTGAGGAAATTGAACAGCGACCAATCCTCAAATTTTACTTTTGAGGGCCTGTTTGGGATTGACAAACATATTGAAAGAATCAAAGGATTGTTAAATGTTTCCTCTCCGAAAGTGCAGATTGTGGGCATTTGGGGAATGGGCGGCATAGGTAAAACAACCCTTGCTGAAGTTGTATTTAATAAAATCTCTTCTGAATTCGAAGCTCGTTGTTTTGTTGCGAATGTAAGGGAAGAATCAGAGAAGGGATCATTGGTTAGCTTAAGAAATAAACTTCTTGCTGAATTATTAAAGGAGGAACATCTAAATCTGGGAACCCCATCTTTAGGACCAACTTTTGTCAAAGAAAGGCTCCGTCGTACAAAGGTGCTCGTTGTTGTCGATGATGTATATCATGTAGAACAATTAAAATCTTTGATTGGTGACCGTGACCAATATAGCGGCGAAAGCAGAATTATTATAACAACTAGAGATGCCATGTTGCTTAGAAAGATTTCAGCAGATGGAGTGTACGAGGTTAAAGAATTGAATTGCGATGAGGCTCTACAACTTTTTAACTTCAAAGCTTTTAAAGAAAACTCTCGCATTACAGAACACCTAGAGCTATCCAAAAAAGTGGTGAAGTATGCAGGAGGTAACCCGTTGGCAATTACGGTTTTGGGTTCTTACTTTGGTTCTCTTCGTTCCAAAAAAGAAGAAAGCTGGGAGATGGCATTCAGTAAATTAAAAGTTGTTCCTCATAATGATATTCTAAACGTGTTGAGAATAAGTTATGATGAGCTAGATGAAACCGAAAAGAATATATTTCTTGATATCGCGTGTTTCTTCAACCGGATGAGTAGAGATCATGTAGAAAACATATTAAATGCTTGTGGTTTCTTTGCAAATAATGGAATAGATGATCTAATTGACAAGTCTCTTATAACTATCAAATATAAAGAGCTTTGGATGCATGATCTATTACAAGAGATGGGCCAAAAAATTGTTTGTCAAGAATCTGCAGACCTTGGAAAGCGAAGTAGGCTATGGATTGCTGAAGATGCTTATCAAGTCCTTGAGAATAATGAAGTAAGCTCCAACTTATTTCGATTATTTCATTTTAGAAATTGCTTGAACTTCCAACAGAGAGAAC